CAGACCAGCGAACGGGGTTGGTTGAAATTGATACAAGATGTACTCTCGTTCGTTGATAATGACAATGCGCGCACGTGGGAGTTACCCAGTATCCATGACCCGTCGTCATGGACAAGAGAAAGTGAATCCCGCGTAGAGGTCGAGGAGACTCTCGGTGCAACAGTCTGTGCGCCATACCTGAAATATGAATCATGGGTACTTCGTCGCAAAGTTCACGCGCATTGCCATTCATCTAGTCTCAATCTACGTCGACATAGGCTCACCTTCTCACATCGTTTCAAGCATAAGCCGCTCGAACTATACATTTCAAGAAACCGCAACATGACGAGGGCTATGGCGAAAGTAAACATGACAAAGCTTCGGCAACCTATCAACTGAAATTAGACTCCCAGAAGCGAAAGCGCGAGGCATCAGAGGAGGCACGAAAAGCGCAAAAGAGGAAGAGAGCCAGCACCACTTGATGATTAATCTAGGGGAGCTGCAGCACTGGAATTTTTTGGGCCTGAACTATCTGATGCCTGGCATGTTCGTAGGCCGCTTTCGGTACAGATCCAGTCGCCGCATATGATTGTAGTTGATTTCGTCGGTTGCAGGCGTCGCTCATCTGGTTATTTTGCATCCCCACACCAACTTGTTTCGAAACTGTACTCTTGACCTGTTGGTGGACCTTGGCCTATAGTTGAGAGGTAGACTAGCATTTCGTGGTGCATCGTGCACGTGGAATGCAATCTGTACAAGGCCCCGTATTTTAAGCATGTGTTGGTCATGATATGTTATTTTCCATGACCCGTTCCCACTACGTTTTAAATCCTAATTCTCTCCTAGTATGTTATTATTTCAACTCTATTTTTCTTCTAATTCTGTAGTCTAAGGTTCTTACCATTCTGTATTGCGCACGGCCTGATCTACAACAGAATGGTCCTGATCACGAGGAAGGTCAGCCACTTAGCAATTTGTCTGGCAGTTGGCTTTCTGCCGAAATTACACAGTGCACATGACAAACACCTTCTGAATTGAAGAACGTAGGCAGAAAGCTGGCTGCCTGACAAGTTGCTAAGTGGCTTGCTTTCGTCCTGATTCTAGATTTCTGTTCTGTGCTGGAATCCAAGCTTCACCTTCTGAATTGGGGGAAAAGGTCCATATTGCTACCTAGGACATAATCCTTTGTAAGACGAGACCATGTCTATGTCAAATTTTGACCTACTACTGTTTGCCCCTTATCTTGACCAAAGGTCATATCAGGCTTCTTAGACGGCGGTCGTGTGTAGCAGCACTATCGGGTACTGGTTCGAAAGTGTACATCTTTAATTACCAGACAACCAGTCCATGTTAGCAAATCCAGGCCCAGCCAAATAAGAGAGACACCCTATTCTGTTTTGTTTCTTGGCGCAGACCGTCTCTGATCGTGTTAGGGATTGACTTCAAACAAACCACTGGAAGCTATAGCCACCATCTCTCCGAGGGCACCGTTGCGCTTTGCTTCTGGAATGGAATCCATTTATTGTAGGAGCTGGAAAATGGCACGTCATCCTATTCACCTCTTGAAGCTGGTTAGCTCTATGTGGAACAAACCCTTCTTTTGGAGGGGAGAAACACATTGACATAATCTACTCAGACTATCTCTAAGTTCTTCCTTCTCACAGAGCCTGGGCCCGCAACTTCTGATGATCAGGGCATCTACCAACACTTGTGGTCTTGTGGTTGGATTCAAACAACCGGGCTGGCACAATGCCAAATCAGCTCTTCCTTATGAGCTACCGCAGAACACTCAGTTTTCATCAGAACCGGATACAGGAATCCATATCAAGTCATACTGGACAGCTTTCCCAGCTGGAAGCATCATTCTTTTGGATCAGTTTTGCAGTACTGGTACTGGTACCAAGGAGCCTCGGTACATACGATCGGGCTGCCTGTCTGCTGCCTGGCCTCGAGTCGACTCATGACTCGACTCTTGACTCGACTCTTGACTCGACTCGTGACAGCACTGCTGTGGTTCGGTCACACTTGCTACCAGGTACCTGGTACGGTAGCTGGCGCAGCCCGTTTGTTTTCAGATCCTCCGGCGCTCTAAACCTTCGCACCGTACATGGACCAAGAGGTGCGCTGCGCCACATGCATCACCGACGTTTTCGTTGCATTTTTTTTGGCGCAAACAGACTAAGCAACCAACACCACGTATTAGTCATCTAAGCAACCTCCACTCTCTAAGCCATAGTAACCATTACTCATCTAAGCAACCAACAGCACGCATTATAAATAGTCATGGATGTCCTCCTTCGTCACATGCACAAAGCAACCCTCCGTTGCAACATCTTCGTTGTGGCTCATGTTTTGACTCACCATCACTTCCATTCCATTCCATTTCACTCCATAAATCAATGGAAGCGCCTTGATTGTCACGTTTGCTGGGGTTTTTGCTTGCCATGGATATACACTCTTCTCCTTCTTCTGATGCGGCCTTGCCGTCAAAGAATGATGACACTGCCTCGTCTGAAGTTCTCGAGCCAAGCGACGCCAATGCAGGATTGTTGGATTCTCTTTTGGATTCCATTCTGGGCAGTTTCTGCGAGCAACCTGATTGCTGCTGTACCACCGATACTACAGTCAACAACTGTTGCTGTCTTCCTTGTGAAGATAATTTGACCTGTCCAGCATGTTTCCCCCACACTGGCATTGCCTGTTGCGGAGGTGTCAGCAATTCAATGAAGGTATTGCCATCAAGGATGTCAGTGGTAGAAACCAAGGAAGAAGAAGATGATGACATCTTGGAGTATGATACAGCTTTTTTCCCCATGACTTTCTGTCGCCCCACAGTGAATGGCTGACATTATGACAATTCTGAACCATACGTTAGTTGCTTCGGCCAGTGAGGTGTGAGAGTGGTATCAAGAAATCCATCTTGGGAGCGTTCAGCGTGTAACATTGATATTCTGTTAGCTAAAGAGTCCAAGTCTCCGGTGTCTTTTCATGAATCCAAGAAGCTAGAAGATGGCGACGATGACGAGGGTGGCATCGACTTACTAGTAGTCTAGGTTTACTCAAGCAATCTGCTAGCTACCCTTGTGAAAGCTACCCATTTATGTCTCCGTGGATCTCGCAAAGCCAAACCATTTGGCCCCCGTACTGGTCCTCAATTTCTTGCCCCTGATCCCACAGAACCTAGTCCTGAATTTCGACTGTTCTTTGCTTAAGCCTGGCCCAGGCTGGCTTCCGTAGATAATTTCCCTACTCTAATCCCCCCTATGTATCTGCTAGCTAGGTAGCAAGCAAGCTAGTCTGCTTTCGCATTCGATGCCATGATGGGCAGGAGCCAGATTCTAGTAATCAGATGGTGCTTTCGAATTTCATAATGGACAGGAGCGAGATGAGCAGTGGGAGGTGCGGCTTGCTGGTTGCCGCAGTGTTGCTCGGCACATTGCCTGCCGTTGTGAGTCCGCCCAGCAGGTGAAATTGCCCGCGTACCTTCAGGTATTTATTTTTGGCCCAGATGCCTATGTTTTCATCGGCACTTATTGGTCTTGCAAGTCGGCTCGTCGCCCCTCCACTCAATCGATCATCCACCGAGAATAAGACGACCTCAGCAGCTGTCTGTCAGAAGCCTTTAGGCCTTCATTTTTATCCATGTTTTCTGTTCCCTCTCTAACCCATAGTAACTTCTTCTTTGTTGTTGTCTGTATGACTTTCGTGACATTGCCATCTGACAGACAAACATCTTTGCCATGGTGTCCTCTATGATGTCAACGGAAGGTGCCGCTCACTCCGCCGCAGCCGCTGCAGCTTTCGCGGCCAAGAATGACGCTGCCGCCGAAGCAGCTCTTGGTAAATCCGAGTCCGAACAAGGATTGATGGATATTCTACTGGACTCCTTCTTGGGCTGCTTTTGCGAACAACCCAATTATTGCTACAACATGAGCACCTTTGTTTCCGTCAACGACTGTTGCTGCGTTCCTTGTGGTGATAACTCCCACTGCCCAGCCTGTTTCCCCGACACTGACTTTACCTACTGCCAGAATGTTAGTGATTTTTTCCCATCAAGAATGTCAGAGCAAGAAGCCAAGGAAGAAGATGAAGAAGATGGTATCTTGGAGTATGCTGATGCAGATTTCTTCTCCATGAGCTTGTGTCAACCCACAATGGGCTATGATAGCTAGATAGATAATTGCCAAAGGAGGCTCGCATCGGTAGTGGGTAGTTGTTCTATGAGTTCACCACACTTTTGGGAGCAGCATGGCACCTGTACGCTAGAGAATGTAACATTGCTAAATGGATTAGTTTGTGAAATTTTGACTGGTTTCTGTTGCTGATGTTTGGCGGTACCGTAGTCTCGAGCCATGATGCCATGATGGATGCATCTGAGCAAAGCAAGACATTCCAGATGCTCTGCTGCCGAAATCATCAGTCTTCTCCGTGTTGAGAGGGACTGCCGGTACTGTACTGTACTAGCTAGTACAGTCTGTAGTGAGAAAGTACGGTACTGAGGATCGATACAGTCCGGATGCTCTGCCTGCTGTCGAAATCAGCCTCATCTATCTTCTCCGTGCGTTGCTTGGTCCTCAATTCATCTCCCTGATCACAGGTACTAGCTAGCTACCAGAGTGTGGACTCGACTCTTCTTTGCTTAATTAATCGTGGCCCTCGTTGGCTTCGGTGAATAACCTCCCTACTCCCTACCCTATAGAAGCCCCTCTTTCGCAATCTACTACAGTCTTCCTAGCTACACAGTGTGGGAGGTGTATCTTCTACCGTAGCTAGCAAGGGACTTGTAGCGTTTGAGCCCTGAGAAAGTATTGGTAGATCGAACGCGGCAAAATCACCAAACCGGCTCAACTGGCTTCTCGGACACTGGTGGCATTTTGTGGCTCGGTCGCTCGCTCCATTACAAACCACTCGATCACCCATCCACATGCGGCCAAGATGTCTTCTAATACCAATAGGGTGTTCGTCTTTGTGATCATGGTGTTGATTGCCGTATCGACTGCCTGGGATCTGATACGAGAAAGGCTTGTGATGGTGTCGTTGGATATCGCCAGTACCGTCGAGCTAGAACGAAACATAAGTGTGACTCCCAAGAACCACAGCATTGCAATAAAAGCAAGTTTCTCCAACAGCAGCAGCAGCAACTCTACTAGTACAGTTCAAAGTAGTAGAGCCAGCAAGGATCCATTTGCAATCGTCCGTGACGGCAAAGTAATACATATGGCGGCATCGACCCAACAGCAAACCCAGCAACGATCCGGCGTCACAGTGGAAAATGGCCAACCACCATTACTTCTTCCTGATAGTAATGCGACCGACTCGAATTTGACGACGCAAGACTCCAAATTTCAACTAGTGGAACCCACTACTCCATCATCTGACAAATCACAAGACACGCCAGAGCAGCCGCCAATTCCGAGCAATCAAGCAGCAGCTGCAGACACTACCAATCACGACGACGTGTTTGATCCAAATTTATTGCCGGATGATTACATCTTTCTCGATCCGTCGATACCTTCCAAAGAATGGATGCACAACTGTGCCAAAACATTACAGCAGGATAGCAATATCCTCAAGCCCTTTCCAATCACTATTCCCGGCTATTCCTTGGGGGACTGTATAACACACTGCAACCAGTGCACTATTGACAATAAGCAAAACTCAAATTCCAACAACAGAACCATTGCATTTTACTATAATGCATTTGCCTGCCCCAACAATAAACAAAATCTGACTGTTGTGGATCGGATTCTGAAAATAGTTGGTCAAAGAGAGGGCTTTGTCAAGCCGGATCCCAATGACATTGTCATTCATCTTCCACTCGGAGATGGTGTGGACACAATCACAGATTCCTCAGTCGGAGATCTCCTGACACAAGGTGCTGTTGAAAGTGATCAGCCTGAAGCCAAAAACGCAAAGCTTAAAACGCTTCGGAGTCTTTACGACTATCTAGAGGAGCTATCCCAACATCCCGATGCCAAACTGGTTTTCGTGGGTGGCGGATCACACAACAAACCAGAATTATTTGAAAAGGCAAGAGTCTATGCCAACTGTCTTCAGAGAGGCCTGGCCAAAGCTGGTAGAGTGGTGGAACTGCATTTGGACAGTGGAGATGCCGACAAGGATTTCTACTTTATGAGTTATGCCAAAAAGCTTGTGCTGTCCTCTGCAGATTATTCCAGGATTGCTGGAGCCATGGCATTGAGGCATGGAGGTGAAATTGTCGGAAACCAGTTTGACATTGCAGAGGCCGGTCTGGATATTACACCAGTACAACAACAAGAAGTACAACAAGAGCAATCAACTGTAGACGAACCGACGGAGCAACAACCACTGGAACAGCAGCCACAACAACAACCAGCAGGACAGCAACCGGTAGAGCAACAACAACCAGCAGCACAGAATCAGTCCTCACATCCTGCCAATCCTCCGATAAGTTCAGATGCTGCTGGCCCCAATTCGGAAGATGTGTTTGACCCAAAGCTAACTTTGGAGGACTATGAGCGCATGAAACACTCACCTCCTTCCAAAGAGTGGCTTCGCAGCTGTGCCAGCACTTTGGAAACTGATGATACCATTGTGAAACCTTTCCCAACCCTTCGACCGGACTATGCGTTGGGAGACTGCATCAAAAAATGCAACAAATGCAACCTTGGGCTTCCTGGTAGGCAGAGGAAGATTTTCGCCCCAAACTTCAAAAGAGACAAAAATTTCAATTTGACCATTGCTGGATATTACAGTGAACTTGCATGTCCCTTCAACACCGCGAACTACACTATTGTGGATCAAGTGTTGGAAATATTTGGTCAAAGAGAAGGTTTCATCAAACCAGATCCAAATGACATTATCATTCATCTCAGATTGGGAGATGTGGTGGATTATACAGGAGAAGATGTTGGTACCCTCCTCATCAAAGGGGGCATTGGAAATCACCCTGGAGCCAAGAAGAGGAGAGTCAGATCCGTCCGGAGCGTATATGGATATTTGGATGATTTGAAAAACTATTCCGATGCCAAGGTGGTGATTGTTGGCGGCTCTCACAAGCCACATGTATTCAAGAAGAGCAGGGTTTATGCCAACTGCTTACAAAGGGGTCTGGCCAAGGCTGGAAGGGTAGTAGAGCTGCAACTGGACAATGGAGATGCTGACAAAGACTTCTACTTCATGAGCTATGCCAAACGGTACATGTTGTCAACTGGAGGGTTCTCCAGATTCATTGGCGGAATGGCCATTCTCCACGGAGGTCAGCTCATTGGGAACATGCTTGACTTTGAGGATAGTCTGCCAAACTGGGATTTCATCAAACGACAACCATGATGGGCTAGAAAGATTGACAACAAACAGTGTTTGAAGGGTTCAGAGTATTAGCTTCCCGCTAACTTGACGAGCGGCTGGGAATGCAAGTTCGCACTACGCTGCCTGGCCCCACCTGTCAGGACTCTCGGTTGTCGGCTTTGCTGGCACGAGCCTAAGCTTTGTGACAAGCTTCGCTTATGCTCCTGCTACAAAAGCAAACGGTGCGAATGGTGGTTTCTACAATGCCACGTCAGGTTTTTGTGATTGCGATGATGGATATTATGGCGACATATGCGAGCGGGAGGAAGAGTGTTACGAAAAGGAAAGGCCGTGCTCTGGTTTTGGCGTTTGTGACGAGGTCTCTGGAATATGCCGTTGCGTTCGATCTCGCTATGGAAAGCTGTGTGAGGAGCCCCTTTATTGTTTTGAGGAAGAAGGAAGCTATTTCCACGGCGGTGCTTGTGTTCCATCCCAGAAGACACATTGTGAATGTCCAGACCCGGCAACCACCGGGATATCCTGCGAAGCGCGACAAGATTGTACCTTTTATTGGTTGCCAGAATGGAGGAGTCTGCAACGCCATCACTGGCATCTGCAACTGCGAAGCCCCTTTCTATGGCTTTCAATGTAGTCTTGTCAATGACACTCTTCAGGATCATCTATGCTCCACAGATACAGATTGCTTGGGTGGAACTTGTGACGTCTCTCGCGGCATTTGCACATGCAAAGATCCTACCAAATATGGCACCCTTTGTGAACATGAATACAACTGCACAAGAAGTGGCTGCAATGCTGTGGTTCCCGACGCTGGCACATGTAATAGTACCACGGAACTCTGCGACTGCACTTTTCCTTTCACAGGTATGGATTGCACAGAGCTACCCGATTGCTCGAAAACTCAGACTGTATTGGCCCTAGTGTATGCTCTGCAGAAGAAAGCGGCACCTGTACCTGTGCATCTCCACATTCCTATGGTAAGCTGTGCGAGGCAACCACTGATTGCAGAACCATTGGATGCCATAACATTGGTGTATGCGGTCCGAATGGGTACTGCAGGTGCGAGTTACCATTCTATGGCTCGTTGTGTAACTATATCCTGGGAGAGGACAGTTATTAGCTAGATCTGCGCCTCGTGTGCACACCAGATTGTCGCCACGCAGCTTCCAGGCATTCGCCACCATAATACATGGGACGCATCCAAAGGGACATCAAATCGAGACACGCTTCTCTTGATGTTTCGGTCTTTCGGCGCTCCCCAATCTTTAAACGGGTAGCGACAGGCGCTGAACATACGGCAACAGCCCCAACTCCAGGTCACTCTGGGTCCACCTACCCAGCACTAGCTAGCTACCGAAGCTGTAGGGCTGAAACATCTCGTGCAAGTCTGTGATTTCTTCAGTCAGCAAAACCACGTTGCGGTCCCGACAGCACCAACTCTCGTCGCTCTGGCCTTGTTGATTATCCCGAGGACCCGAGCGCCATGACTATGGTCGGTCTTGCTACTAACAGAGCACTTATTTGAAAACTGCCTTGGTACGTTTAATTACATACAATTTAGACCGTTCAGCGTTATCGTCTGAATCTATAGGCAGGCTTCGCACTCAATAACGTGTGCTGTGTACACATAGATTGAGGCTGCGGTTGCTGCTGCATGCTGTACCTGGCTACCTGCTAGCTAAGCTAGAAACACTGCACACAGCACTCACAAGAAACCTCAGCACTGCAATCCGCCGCCACAAATGCGCCGGTAGCACAAACTCCTGACGGCACCACCCCCGTCAGACTATTCTCCTGAATTTCCAGTTTCAGTTCCGGTGCTGTCAGTTGACCAAGTTCGTCAGGTACTTGTCCGGATAGAAAGTTTCCCTTTAGATCGAGATGAGTCAACAGTGTAAGCTGCCCCAAGGAAGCAGGAATCGGCCCAGTTAGTTCATTGACGCACAGATGCAGGTCGTCCAACAATGACATGCCCCCCAGCTCTTCCGGAATAGATCCCGTGAGTTGATTGTTGCATAACAGAAACGACTTGAGATTGGAAAGACTCCCCGCCACTTCTACTGGGATGGTGTTGGTGAGTTGGTTCAATTCGGCATTGAAATCAACCAGCTTGGTCAGTAGTGCCAGTTCGGTTGGCAGGGGTCCCCACAATGTGGCCTGTGTCAGCTCCAAGGTTTCTAGATTGGTGAGTTGTCCAATCAATGTGGGTAGAGTCGAGTTGAGTCGTCCGGCTCCCTTCAAATCCAAATTGACCAGACTTGTAAGGTTAAAGAATTCATCGGGCAGTTCACCCTGTAGAATAAAGCTGTACTCCAAGGAAAAGTATTCCAGATTGGTCAGTAACCCAATTTCGGTAAAGAGTGTGGTTCGTCGTCGGCGAGCATTTCTTCCATAGTCAAAGTACTCGAGGGTGGTGAGGAGCCCTAGTTCGGAAGGAATGGGATTGGCCAAGGTATTCTCCTCGACGACGAGTGCAATCAATTTTTGTGCCTTGCCAATTTCCGTGGGGATCCTTCCAGCGAGATAGTTGTGGGAGAGATCCAATCGCTGGAGGTTTGTCAAAGAAAACAACTCGGTAGGAATTTCACCTCCGAGATTGTTTTTGCCCAGCGACAAATGTATCACGTCGGTCATGTTCTCCCATATGGTGGTCGGGATGCGGTTTGTGAGGTCATTTTCACTCAGAAAGATACTCGTCAGCTGTGTCAGGAGTCCAATTTCTTCGGGCAGTGTTCCCCGCATGTTTTGTTTTGTCAGAACCAAGTGCTGCAAATAATCCGTGTTTCGATCCTCGCAAGGCGTGTCAATGTTGGGGAATATGAATGGGATTGCTTCCTCGTCCAAGGATGAATACCACAGACACAGTGGGTCTGTATACGACAGCCACTTGTCGTTGATGGCCCAGTCGTCTCCTCCCGTCGCAAAGTAGAGTGTGGACATGGCAAACCTGGATTGTAGTGACTGTAGATTGTACGTGTCCACATTGGGATCCGCCAACAGCCACTCATATGCCAGAAATTGTGCTGAATTTGGGACTTGAATGTTGGCAATCGTTGACGCCGAAAGTCCCGCAATAATGGGCACAAATACAGTTGCATTGCTAGAGGTTGTTGCGTTATTGGTGCCATCTTGCAGCATTCGTTCAACAGAAGGAAATTCATCCGACAACTGGAGCTCTAACTCTACCAGCTCTGATAAGTCCTCTTCGTCGTCATGTTCGTAAGGCTGATTGCGCGTCAAAGAAGCGAATTCGTGTTTTACTCCCACAAAGTTTGCGCAAAGGCCGATTCCAATGGTCACACCAACGACGACTGCCGCCAAAGCAATCCACCGCCTGGAACTTGCTTGGTGGGGAGCAGCTTCGTTGTCCACTGTGAAAAGAAGGAGTTGTTGGTCTTTCATGGCTGATCGCTTGACTCCGCGTTTCCGGCTTCAGAATTGATTCAGTTCAATTATGGGAGCCACCAGTCTAGCTAGCTATGATATGTAGACACAGTTGAGGCTCGATCCAATACATCGATCGAGGTATGCTCTATAGCTATACATACCTCACTGACACAAGGTCGCTTGGTTTTGGGACCGCGTCGAGGGCAAAGTTGCGATCGAGTTCTTGGTTCTTGGTTTCGCAACAATTCGGAAGCAGGGCTCCCTAATGCTCGTATGGAACCAATCTAATACGCTTCAGGTACCGGTTGGGATCCGGAGCAATCGTGTTTCTCGTGCCGGCCTCAGCCAGCATGGCAATACCGCCAGTTCCGGGTTGTCGCCACTTGCAATCGTTCGTTCCTCGACCTTGCTTTCTCGAAGCAACCTTTCTCACAAAATCAAGTGTGCAACAGAAAAGCAAGCACAATTAACAAGTTCCAACACACAGCTCGATCAAAGATGAAGTCAATTGCCTTGGTCCTTCCCCTCCTTGTTGCCACGGCCGTTGTTGCCGAGAGTGACTGTCCGGCAAAGGAATTCCCTCCGAGTGCTTCCCTTGGAACTTACAGCGGAAATCCCCATTGTCACTCGGGTGGAAACGGGGAACCCTTTGGATTTGATTTTGGATACAAGATTGATAATGGTTGCCAGCCTGGTACCTACACGCTTAGTACTGGCGGATCAAGGGCTGGGTCTTGTCCAATTGCAGAGCAGATCACTGTCACTATAGCATGTAATGATGACAAGTCGGCCACTATTTCATGGAGTGGCGAGGGTGATTCTGTTTTGGCCATCAAGGTCAAGGGCTCCAATGGTGGAACGCTCTATGATGATGGCAACAATGGAGGCAACTTTATTGCTGGTCGCAATAATGGTGGCCAAATTGCAGACATTAGCCACATTGAAATCTGTGCCAACTGTCCGGGCTGCGGCGGCGGCGCAGGAGGAGATCCCCATATCAAAACATGGGCAGGAGAATACTTTGACTTTCATGGAGAGTGTGATCTGGTCCTTGCCCATGCTCCCGAGTTTGATGGAGAACATGACCTTGATATCCATGCCAGAACCACAATCCAATGGGACAAGTACTCCTACATTGAATCAGCTGCTGTCAAGATTGGTGAGGATATTCTGGAAGTGAGCAGTTGGGGAGAGTATGCTCTTAATGGAGTGGAGGGTGCCTTGACTGATTCAAAAAATGAAGTCCTCCATATTCGCAAGAGGGTCAACGTTGCATCTCTTGGTGGCTACCCAATCTACCATGTGGTAGTTGACAACCAGAAGAAAAAGCACATCTTTGATGTTGTGCTCAATGAGTATTTGAATATTACAGTTTCTTCCATGAAGCAACTTGTCAATGTCAAGGTTAACCATGCTGATGAATACTACTTCAAGGAAGTTACTGGACTCATGGGAAACTTGCAGGGACGAATGTTGGCACGGGATGGTATGACGAGCCTGCATGATGATCCTATTGAGATGGGACTGGAGTGGCAGGTTCACGAGGATGAAGCAATGCTCTTTCAAACTGCACGTTACCCACAATTCCCACAAAAGTGTATCCTTCCTGAGATAACTCAAGAGAAAGAAGCCCGTCGTCTTGGAGAGGGTGTCACTGAACAAGAAGCTGAGATTGCCTGTGCTCACCTGCAGCAGGATGCCAGGGCTTTTGCCAACTGTGTGTACGATGTTACTGCAACCAATGATCTTGAGCTTGCTCAAGCTGGAGTGTTTTAAATGAATTTGCTGCGCAAACCTTTAATAGAATAGCCCAACCATGTTCAAATAATCATATGCACCAACTCTAAACTAATTTACAGGTATGCTGACGGCTACAATGAAGGCTAAAAGCACTGTACACAACATTCACATTCAATCTCAGCAATGCAATCTGCCAAGATAAAGGCAACTGCACTGCAGACTTCTGCAGGCACTACTCCAGTAAATGCATTGTTCTGCAATTCCAAAGCCATTTGTGGAGCTGTCAGTTGGTCTAGTTCACCAGGCACTTGCCCCGACAGAAAATTCTCCTTCAAATCAAGGTGAGTCAGCATGGTCAGCTGACCAATGCTAGCAGGTATCTGCCCTGTCAACTCGTTGCCACACAAATGTATGTCATCCACTGACGTCATGCCCCCAATTTCTTCAGGGATGCTACCGGTGAACTCATTGTTGCAGACCAAGAAGTTCTTGAGATTTGTCATGTTTCCAACGTCTACTGGTATTGTGCTGGTGAATTGGTTCAATTCGGCATTGAAGTTGACAAGGCCCGTAAGAAGTGCAAGCTCGGTTGGCAATGGGCCCTGGAAGGATGCTTGTGTGAGCTCTAAGGTTTCTAGATTGGTGAGCTGTCCAATCAATGTGGGTAGTGTTGAATTCAGTTGTCCAACCCCTTTGAAATCCAAGTTTATCAAGCTCGTTAGATTGAAGAACTCCTCTGGGAGATCTCCTGTTAGAATGAAGATATAGGGCATAATCAAAGTGTGTAGATTGGTGAGCTGGCCAATCTCAGTGAACAATGATTCCCACCTTGACCGAGGGTTGTTGCCAAAGTTGAAGTACTGAAGATTGGTGGCCATTCCAAGCTCGGTAGGCAGAGGGTTTGTCAGCATGCTTTGCTGAAGCATTAGAATCTCCAGAGACTGAAGGTGTCCAACCTCAGAAGGAATACGACCCCTCATAGAATTGTATGACAGGTCCATTTGTTCCAGCATGGTCAAAGTAGAAAGAGCCTTGGATGGAAGGACCCCAGTCAGTTCATTATTGCTGAGACTTATTGTGATGAGGTTGGTCAATAATCCAAGCTCCTCAGGTAGGCTGCCGTGAAGACCGTTATCAACCAACACTAGTTCCTGGAGAATATCAGAGCGTGCATCATCACAGGGTATCTGTCCTTCCAGAGAAGAGTACCATTGACAGACAGAATGGTTGTATGAGAGCCAATTATCAGTATGGTTCCAATTTTCACCGTCTGTTGAAAAGTATAGAGTGGCCATGGCAAAGTGGCTCTGGAGATCTGTGTTGTTGTACTCCTTCACATTTGGGTCTCCAAGCAACCACCGGTAGGCAAGAAACTGTGACGAGTTTACCACCTGGATGTTTGTAACTGAAGAACTCAAGAGACCATCGATGATTGGCTCAAACATGGGAGGACTGGTTTTGTTTGTGTCCAAGATAACACAATCGGTGTTGTTGCTCTTGGAGCTTGCCCCTGACTTGGGTGTTTTGGGAGGAGTTTCAACGAGGTCAGTGATTTCATTTTCAGAAGGATGATGATTGGAAGTTGGTAGAATTTCTTCTTTGCCCGAGGCTGGCCCATTGCTACCAAAAGTGAACTCGAATTGTCCTTGATCGCTTCGGCTATGGATGTCTCCTGCTACGAACACAACCCCAACAACCGTTCCGACAACTGCCATCAAGGCTACCAGACCGATTAGTACGAACCATTTCCACTTGACCCGTCGTCGAGGGAGCTCATTGCTCTCGACTTCATACCATAGTTGCTGCGATGTGTCCATTGCAAAGTTCCGAAAGTATCGCTGTTGGTTTGATCTGTAGGGGGGATAGCGTTAGTTGTCTGCGTTGTTCGAGGTGGAGGTTCGAGAGGTCAATTTTCGGCAAATTGTGAGAAAGTGTCTTCCAAAATTTTTACTATTGCAAATTGTGTAGATGACGTCCATTCGCACCAATTTTGGTTAAATCTACCGGCCATGAGATTTACAAAGTCCACATGGTCCCCAAAGTCTCGGCCTTTGCACATCATGCTACCGGTACCGGCACAGCTATGCTACATGTTGTTTTGAAGTCGTTCTAGTATACCTATGTAGCTACACAACCGAGAGGAACACAACCAAAAAGATCAGAAATCATCGTTCTACTTCTAGCTAGGGCTAGCCAGCAGCTACATTCTGCAGCTCTGCGGGGCTGTCTTGGCGGCGTGCACCAGTAGCGAGAAACTCTCTGTGGTTCCAGGCATTACACCCTCTTGAAAATTGCCAGCACCGTCAGAGTCAACGGCGCTCTCCATCGTCTCGAAGGCTACGTCTGGCTGTGTCTGTAGCTTCTCGCCATTTTCTTCTTCGTCGTCAGACTCCTCCTTAATCATTTCGATGTTGTTTTCGGGTATGCATAGGCACTTCCTCTTCTTCATGGGAAGACAGCCCGCATGGCGACACATAAAGTGGCAGCCACACAGACAAGTTCCTCCCTTTCGTTCCAAAGCACTGGCAGAGCGTTTGATGGCCTTTGCGGCAACACGATTTGCCTTGGTCATTGGAGCGACATCACAAGCACAGGCTAATCTTTGGATCTTTTGAGTCTCCTTGGTCTGAACGACTTGGTGCCTCTGAGGGAGGATGCTCTTACAGGACCATGATGTGTACTGCTGCCCGTCTTGGTAGTTCAAGGATTCGTCAAGCAAGGCCAGAGCAACCTTTTCCATGCAGTCGGCACTTTGGCTCACGTTATATCCACCTTCGAGTGCAACTACAAGCGGGGTTGTTGGTGCCGCTTCAATGATACTTCGAGTCATTGAATAGTACATGGATGGGGACAGTCCACAATCACCGAGCAAGTCACCTTTCACGGCATCCAAGCCGCAAGCAACCAAAATCAAGTCTGGCTTCCAGTTGTAAATGAGAGGGAGGACAACCTGACTAAATGCGGAAGCGTATTCTGCGTCCCCCATTCCACCTTCACCAAAGGCTATATTCAGGTTCGTTCCTTGGGCATCACCCATCCCAGTTTCACTAGGTCGTCCCGTGCCTGGATAGAACCACTTTTCGATATTCTTGCCAAAGGACGCTCTGTGAATCGACAGGTAAAAGATGTTGGGATCGTCAAATGTCAGGTCCTGGATCCCATTGCCATGGTGAATGTCCCAGTCCAAAATGAACACTCTGTTGACCTGTGCGCTTCCATTTCCATACAGAGCGTGCTTGGCTGCCACAGCCACATTGTTGAAGTAACAGAACCCTAAATAACGAGAACGAAACGAGCGGTTAGTTGCTACTGGGTTGCTCCGATGCGAACTGGCTACAAAATGCGCTCATTGCAGTTTTGCAAGTGCTCATCCGACATGATACGACTAGCACAACGTATTCATCAGCCACTTGTACGGTTACGTACCCATGGCTTTGTCTCTTGTAGCATGGTGGCCGGGTGGTCTCACAATTGCAGCAGCTCTGCAGCTCTTTCGTCTTGTTTCGTCTAGCACAGCATCGACACATCCCACCACGCCTCCAACGGCTAACCGAGCCGCCAAGAACGTGTTTTTGCAAAAGTACAAGTCGTCTGGATTCGTAATGCTTCGCAATTCCTCGTCCGACATGGTCATGGTGTCCTGCATATACTCGAAATGCTCTTCGGAATGCGCCAGTTCGATCGTTGCTCGAGAGGCGGGTGTGCATGGGACGTCAATGAATCGACGATAGCCGTCCCTGGCTTCCAATTCAATCAGCTTTTCGTAAATTGCTCTGATTCTGTGAGGTATCTCCATGGTTCCCTCAAAATGGTCCGTTTCTTGTTCGGCAGAATGTTCCGCGTCGCTATTCGTCGAAGCAACATCTTGCCCTTCTGCGCTACTCATCGGAAGTTCTTGGAGGGGCCGGTGTAGCGTCATTCTCTCGTCGTATGCTAGATAGACCTTTGACATTGTCGAATTGTTTCTTCTTCTGATCAGGTATATCACAGCGCTCGATCGATAGTGTAGTTTATTGGTTGCTTTTTGCTTTTTATGAGCCTTTCGACGACCTCGAGTGAGTTTCCGATGCTAGTTCGTCTGTCGTCTCACCGGTGGAAACTGAAAGTTCGAGGAATGAGTTCGGATCGATGCAGCCGTGTTCCAGTGTCATCTTAGGGACTGGCTCTCCACGATCTCAACGGACCGTGGAAGCGGAACATTCCCAAGCGGTACCTTAGGAATTAGGAGTGACACCACCCCCTTTTCCCCGAGGGGGGTGGCTGCTTACACACGGTTCACTCGGTCACTGTAATTATTATATAAGAGATCTTTTTGTGTGGATCCTTTTCTCGAGACGAAAAGAGAAGACATATCAGGTCGTAAACATCCACCGGGTCCAAAGCGATCACAATAGTTGAAGCGATCACAGTGTTTTGAAGAAACCACAAGGAGCTCAAGTGGTTTCGTCTTGTCAGTCAAGTGGTTCCTCTCTGAACAGTCTTCTGTCAATCTAATCTGGTTCCATCAAACTGTGGAGTCCCCTATATTTTTTGTTTGGTGATCTTCTATATTTTTCTTTGATCAAGATGTCTATGCGCAACCGCACTCAACAACAATTTCCCAACAAGATCCGGTCTCCGATCCAGCGAACGAGCAGTCGAGACAAGGGAATTCATGGTGCTGGGAGTGGAGGAGGATTCACGGTCAAGGCTGCCATGGCGGTTGTTGGCCTGGGATTGTTGGGTCTCTTTTTGTACATGGGAAATAATGGTAGCAGTAATCAGGCTGTCGATGCTGCCACCTCGAATCCCAACTCGGTGAGAAAGGTCCTTCAAGAACAGCCGGCTGATCAGGAAAAGAAACCACAGGATGGTGGAAGCGGTTCTGGCAAAAGTGGAGCTATTGAACAACAAATGCGAGACCAACTCAAGGCAGAAGCCCGTAAAGCCGCCCAGGAACACCACGAACGGGATCAGGCCAATTTGCAACAAGCACACGACAAGGCATTGCAGCAAAAGGGAGTCAAAGGAGTCGAAACCAACAAAAATAAAAATGTCGAGCACGATAAAAATGGAAAATTGATTGTCCGGGATGCTGAGGGTGATATCGTACAGGATGACATGTTGGCCAAAGATATTGCTGCCGGTAGAGATGTCGAAGGACCCAAAGAAGTAGAACAGGAGGAAACTGATGTGGCAGTCGGGGACAATCGATGGAAGGATTCCAAGAATATTCCAAATTGGCTCAAGGAATACTTTGAGTGGCACGTCGAAGTCACATCACAGCTGGTCAAACCAAATTGGAGAGAACAAAAATATCTTGTCATGACATGTCTGGGGGGAGAAATTTGTGGAAATGTGGCCCATCGTCTGCGACCCATGATGGCCATGTTGCGCATTGCCGCCGATTCCAAACGCATTTTTTACATTCACTGGGATTTGCCCGATCGATTGGAAAAATTCTTGCATCCACCGCAGCACGGAGGCATTGACTGGGTGGTCCCCGACTTTGTCATGTGGAAAGTTCGAAAATCACCACATCAAAATGATATTGAAATCATTGTACAGCAAGCGTACCAAGATGACAGACGTGTGGTCAATGTCATGTACAATGACGATACTTTTGCCGAACCTTACTACAATGACAGACGCAAGGATGAAGAAAAGGCTGCCTCGGAAGCATTCAAGGATGTCTGGAATGTTCTCTTCAAACCCAGTTTCATGCTCACAGAACGCATGACGGAATCACTCCGGCTCATGGGATTGGAACCGGGAGAATATGCCACCGCTCACATTGACTACGAAATGGTCCCCAAGGATGATGCGGAACAAGAGGACCTGAGACTCAAAGTCGAGAATGCCATGAATTGCATGTCACACCTTCGACCTGGTACGTATCGTATTAGCCCATGGTGGGAACAAATCCGGCCCGAGACAGCGAACCAACGGATCCCACGTTTTGTGCTGCTCACATTATGATGTTTGTGTTCGTCTTCTTCTTTGATTGATTGCTTGCAGGTGGACCATTCCTAGTGGCAGCTCAAACTTATGCTATTGCCAGGGAAGCCATAGTCTATGGAAAGCAACACAATGTCAAGGTTCATGCCAAGCAGATTGCTCATGACACCAGTACAGTACCAACAGATCTTTTCACCAGTTTTGTGGAGATCATGCTCATGGCCAATTCAAGATGTGTGGCCTACAATCGTGGTGGATATGGCCAACTTGGATACATGCTTGGTTACAACTACAATTGCCGTATCAAGTACACGGAAGGTGAAGGCGCAGAATGCAAATGGACGGATCCTCTCCCGGCTACAGAAGAACGAGAAAAGATTGCCCAGGATGCAAAATAGTTGGTTTTCGTACTTTATCAAAACCGACAACAACAACAATGACCCGTAGAGCTAAACAAAGTAGCTGGCATTTACATCTTCGATGCTTTTCTTCATCCAACTCAACAAAGCCGAATTCTCATCCCCAGCTGCTTGCTTGAACAGTTCTCGTATCGTCAAAACTACAATAGCCGCCTCGAGACTTCGTCGTCTTCATCACTGCTGCTCACACTGCTTAATTCGGGATAGGCAGGCCCGAAAAAGCGCAGTGTTTATTTGTAAGGAGACGGCATCGAAGCGAACAAACCGTCAGCTCCTGGCGAAAAATTGTGGTTCGATTGAAGGGGTTTAGAGTTGTGAAGTTACTATGGGAGTCAGTGAGGGCCAGGCTTAGACCGAGGTTCCGTGGGATCAGGGTAGATTAATTGAGGACCAACAGAGGGCCGACGCCGGGCTCGAATGATTCGTCGGCTCCCATCTACTTCAATCACTGCTCGTCTGGATCTACTGAAAAATGAGGAGGCATGACGATAGCCGGCAAGCTTTCTGTCGGCAAGTGCAAGGCTATGGGAACGGTGTGTCAGTGCGACACTGTCATCGAGAAGATGGCTGGTGGATCTCGCGAGACCTTGAACGGTTGATCTTTCTGAGACCTCGAACGGTTGATCGTTCTAGGCGTTGTTGCCGGAGGCCAATGCACACCAATTACTGAAGCGCTGGTTGTGAAAGCAGTGGAAGACTTCGAAAGGACAGCCAAAGACCGGAAATTGCCCACTGCATACGGTTGGCAATAGTGTAATGTCGTGCTCTAAGATAAAAATGCCCCCCCATGCAGGGATTGGGCATAGGCAAAGCAATCATCACCGGCGCTTGAGCGCCATGAGTGGACCCACCATTTCTTGAACTGTTGCTAGTAAGTGTTGCGTCAAGGTCACAACCGCCAAGGCCCCACCAATGACTGTCATTTCAGATGATGAACCAATACCAATACTAGCAAGAGTTGTAGGAAGAAGGAAAAGGGAAGAAGCCGCACCTGCGGCGATGAAAAGTGGCAACGCGAAAGAGGTGCCTTCGTTAGCAGATTTTTTGTGTGCGCAAGGCACCAAGACTGCGCCATTTTCCCCTTCATCACGAACCAATAGATCACTGACCCCCCCTGCCGCCGGCTTGACGACGACCGGCAATGTTTTCCCAGAGTCGGGTCGCCAAGATGGGGCAGACGTGAAAGCTGCTTTGGCTGTTGTTGGTTCCGTTGCCAAAAACGCTTGGCAATGACCAGAAAAGAGCGCCAGCACGGAAACAAGGAGGAGCTTCATCATGTCGATAGTACTGATTGGTGTGCTTTACAGCTGGGCAACGAGAAAACAATGAGAGCTTTACGTTGTTTCTTCCGATGAGTTCACTGTAACGGCCACCCTAGATAGCTTTTTGCATGCAGTCTCACGGTGCCAAGTACGGCGTACCAATGCTGTTTCGGTCGTGGTTGGTTCGTGGTTGGAGAACCAAGAAACTAGATACTAGTACTTGAATCCAGACTAGCTTAACCCTGCAAGTGTTACTAGTATTTCAAATTTTATTGTTTTTACTAGAGGCACAGCGCACCACACCAAAGCACCAACAACCTACAACACGTCCCAGAAGATACTCGTGCTGCCTGAGCGCAACTACTAGTATAGCTAGAGCTACCAGGATCCACGGCTAGCCACAACCACAGCAGCCACTGCTATATATATCGCCGCACCATGAATACTGCCGCTGCTGCTAGTACTCATACTAAGACTACAACCGATAAAGGTACTGTCGAGTCTCCTCTTTTTTTTGCGGACGACTTGATTTGGATTGGCCCGATTCTATCATTTGTTGGTGTTGGACAGTATGCCTTTATTGGACCAGTCAACAAAAGGATGAATCAACGGTACAAAGACTACTGCAAAATTGAGCTTAAGAAAAAGCCACGAATGGTTAAAGATAACCCAAACCCAGCAATAAACAGGCGCTCTGCAGAAAGCACTGATACTTACTACAATGAAACATTCTGTAACCAGCCTCGTGCCGAATACTGGCTCGAGGACAACTCCAGCAATAAGAAGCCTGATCATTATCAAGTTTGCACTGCCATTGCCAAAATTGGAAATATTACTCTCATGCAGTGGGCACGACAAAAAGGATTCCCATGGGATACAAATACATGTTTCTATGCTGCACTATATGGACACTTGGAATTGCTCCAATGGTTACGAGAGAATGGTTGTCCATGGAATGAACATACATGTGCATCCGCTGCTGGAGGTGGACATTTGGAATTGCTCCAATGGTTAAGAGAAAATGGTTGTCCGTGGAATGAGCAAACATGTGCCTGTGCTGCTGAAAATGGTCATTTGGAATTGCTCCAATGGTTAAGAGAGAATGGCTGTCCTTGGAATGCAGATACATGCAGCTCTGCAGCCGAAAATGGTCATTTGGAAATTTTGAAGTGGGCTCGTGCAAATGGTTGTGGATGGAATAAATCGACATGTGCCGATGCTGCTGAAAACGGCCATTTGGAAGTATTAAAATGGGCTCGTGAACATGGATGTCCCTGGGATAGATCGACATGCTCAGGTGCTGCTCTAAACGGCCACTTGGAAATTCTAAAGTGGGCTCGTGAGAATGGGTGTCCATGGGATAGCATGGCATGTTCCTTTGCT